GAAATATGTTTATGTATTTATTGTCAAAGCATTTAATATATTCATTGCTATCGGGATGTTAAGAGCATTCCATGGAATATAACAAAAAGTGTTTCTGAAGTGAATTACCTACCCCACCTCTAATTGTTAAATGGGTTTGTAAAGCTGAGTCATATTTTGTTACCAGTAAAGAGGCCCAATAATGCCTTTGGGGGTGTTCCCTTTCCTGTAGTGTGTTATATAGATTTATATAGGCACGTAAATGGTCTGCAAAGGCTAAATCCCTGCTGGAATATATATCCCTAAATATAAAGTCAAATGTCATAGTTGCAATACATCTCTCTACAAAACATTTATTATCTTTCCACACCTGCAGCTCTTGTCAGTCCTTCACTGATTACACCTCCCACTTTGAGCTTTTGTTGAAGAACACATTCTTGGCCTTGGTCAGCACAAAGCCAAACAGGCTCTTTTTTGTGTGATAGACAAATATCTGCAACCTCAGCATTATCTTCTATTAAAAAAAAGCGTTATTATGAAAGGTTCTGTGTCAGGGCAGATAGCATGTGCTTATTGGAAAGGTCATGTTCTAATAACTGCACTGTCATCGTTATAAACTGATAATAAAAGATAGGTTTTCCCATAAGGACGGACAGAGGGGTAATTGTCTTCATATGTGTCAGGAATCTAAAGGCTATTTTAATTAACTAAATAATGTTACTTTACATGGTGTTCAGCAACTTTCAGATACTCCTAATGAACTTCACGTCTATTTTACCAAATCTACGACCACCCCTCTTCTCTCCCCCGTCATAAGCCATTATTCGCCCGCCCTACCCCTTTTTTTTTTGGCCACACTCTTGACAATCAAGCCAAGCCAAAAGAGCGCGTAAAACCATGGAAACCAAAACGTCCCGATCCCTTTCACGCCCACCCACACACACGGGAATGAAATGCAGATGGTGGTAGGGATATTTCTTGGGAAAGGGCTTTTGTGAGCACGGGTGTAGAGAGAGAGCATTAATATTCTTTTGTACGGCACTTCAAAGACACTCGGAGCTGGCCCCTTTGAGGGAAAGTTCACGGCCATTTCTTCTCGCGCCAACTCAAAAGGCCATCCAGACACACCAGGTAGTTTGAGCAACACCATCTGGCTCTAACTGTACAATTAACCAGTTGCTTGGGTGGCTCTTTTTGGGGCGGTTTACAAAAAACAAGGGGGTTATTTCGTCTTCAACATAGATGCATATATGTTTAGGAGGGGTGGTTGAAAAAAAAAGGACATTTCATAAAGGAATTTAACTTTTCTGAGGTACTTGTACTTAGCCAGAAACATCGCTACAAAAGGGGAATATTTACTGAGATGATCAATCAACTGAGAAGTAAAAACATTTCCTCATAGACTTCTATACAATTGAACATTACCCGCTGGACACCGAGGTAAAATGTAATGAAGTACATATATGTTTTTGTTTAATTTCTACGTACTTTTTACTCCACTACATGTACAGTATGGTGAAGAAAGTTATGTCTTGGGCAAATTTTTTTTTGACTGTGACCTGCTTGTGTTTCTATCTGCTGTATGTAAGTTACTTTACAGATTCATTTAATCAGCTACTACAAAATGTGAATCACCAAGAAATAAACATGTACATGTTATTATAGGTTAAAACCCAGAAGCAGTATGCAATGTCATTTAAATAAGCTCCACCTTTAGCAGCTGTGATGAACACATTAATGGTAAATGGACTGTACTTATATAGCACTTTATCCAGTCTTTAAGACCCCTCAAAGACATACTACATGTCATCCACCCATTCACACAGAGCAGTTTACCCTAGGACCTAACATTCACACACATTCAAACACTGTTGGCCATCGGGAGCAACTCAGGGTTAAACATCGACATGTTGACTGCATCGGCTGGGATCGAGCCCACAACCTTCTGGTTGAAAGACGACCGCACTCCCTCGCAGCCACAGTCGCCCTGCCGCCTGCCAATGCATCAATAATCAAAATCTACTAATGTAATATTAACGATTCTGAAATTGGCCATTACTAGTACTTTTACTTTTGGTACTTAAGTATATATTGATACTTTTACTTTAGTACAATTTACTAATGCTGGGCTTTAACATGTAATAGTCTTTTTATGATTTAGTATCACTACTTTCACTCAAGTGTAAAATCTGAGTTCTTCTTTCTCTACTGATTTGAATAAATGGCAGGAACTGAACATCATGTATGCTAATAAAACCGGTCAGAGCGGCAGTCAGGATAGTGAGTGTGACAACGATTGTGGATGTCAGTGATAACTTATCAGCGGCAGGATGTAGCAAATGAGGGAAATGAAACTGTCTAGTGCTGCGAAACCGTGGTGACACAGATTGAGATTAAAGCGACTGTTGTTTAGTCTGAGGCTGTTGTGGTGAATGGGTTTCAAAGGACGCTGCGCTCAGTACAGACAGCTGTAAGGATAAGACCTGAGGTAAGGACAAGGTGGGAAACTCATTTAGCTTTGACCCGATGTTCAATAACCTGACGACCGGATCCTTAAAGCAAGAAAATGTTAAAACAAGCTGGCGGATACACAGGGGTTAAACTCTGATTTTAAAAAGTGAAGCCAATGCGAGAGTGCCCTTAACCTGCAGTCTTTCTAATATCCAGCCTGGGGGGAAAGAAGTGCAGGAAGTATGTACTTAAGTAAACTAATACCTAATACTAAATAGTAAAAATACCCTGTTACAAGTGACAGTTCTCCATTCAAAATCTTACTTAAGTAAAAGTACAAAAGTTTTGGCAATGAAATACTCCTGAGTACTAAAAGTAAACGTACTTCTTCAGCATAATGGACTATTTTCCGAATCACAAATCCAGTTGTTCCATTAATGTCAGTCACAGCTGGTAAAGATGGAGTTCATTTTAATGACATTGTACGTCGCTGGATATTTCTATCAATAAATATATGTACATTTTTATTTATAAGTGTGTATAAGTCCGTTAGTGGCTCAGTCAGTAGGGTCGCCGGTTCAAGCCCCCGACCAGACCTAAATATGGAGTGTGGACTGCTACAGTACTTGGAGAGGTTCCAGTTCACCTCCTGCCCTGCCGTGGTGCCCTTGAGCAAGGCACCGGACTTCCCCCCTCACCCCCATTGCTCCCTGGGTGCTGTGCAATAGCTGCCCACTGCTCCTAGTACTAGACTCCTGGTGCTAGGATGGGTTAAAAGCAGAGAACACGTGTGTGCTGTGTGCTCTGCATGTGAGACCATTAAAGAGGGTTTCATCCCTTCCAATCTATCTATATTTTGTATCAGCTAGTAATCTAAATCTATAAAGCTGTTAGAAAAATGTATTATAGTTAACATATAATATTGCCTTATCAAATGTAGTGTGGTAGAAGTATAAAGTAGCACAACATGAACATTTGCAAGTACCTAAGAATTGTACTTTGCTTGAATAAATGTACTTAATTACGATCAACCGCTGTGTCCATGGGTACTGGTGATTTTTTTTTTCTCGATTGTATAGAAGTCTATGAAAAAATGACCCTACTTCCTTCTTTATTTATAAACTCATTAAAGATGTGTCATTTGTACTGTAGCAATATTTCTGCCTGTTCTGCCACCTGTGAAAAACACCTGGTTCTTTATCTGCTAGTTGTTGCTAGTTTCAACCAGCTGGTCGCTCACATTGTGTCTCTCCTGTCTCGACAGTGGGTCTATCGGAGCCTTTGAGTTGGAAACAGTTGTCTGCAGCAGTTGATGAATGCATGAGACTTACAGTAAATGTGTTAAAATAATGACCTGAAAGCGGCTTTATAGAGCTGCAGAGCTGGGTGTTAATTACCCATGATTTGGCACGATTACAAAGACTCATTTCATTGAGTTAAGTTGACTCAAACCCACCAAGACTTTACTCTTATTGCTGTCAAAAAATGTGAAGTATACTGTATTAATTTTGACCCCGTAGACTTGAAATAATAAGTGGGGATAATACCAAAATCAAATGACTTCCCCATCAAAGCTCATTCAGTGAAGATTAAATAGTGTGACCATTTGTCCAATTAGTGCAAGCCTGACTGTAACCTTGGAAGTGCACCGGCTAATGCTGGTCATATGATACGAGAGAGTGTGGAATGATAAGGATCACCTGTAAAAAGAGAAGAGGCGCGGGGTGAGTTTGAAAGCAAACGCCAAACCTTTAGCCGGGATGCTAATCCTTCCGGATGCTAGTCACGCTACTGTCAGCTTTGCTATTCTAAGCCTAGTCAGAAATCACACACCGGATCACATGAGCTCTCAGGCTCATATCTGAGGCTGGATCGTTAGAAACATTTGTCAAGTCACATTACAGGAGTCTCTCAGCAGTGTCTTTAGACCAGGCATCAATACAGCTCACTGTAAACCTCTAAAGTGAGCTAATTATTTGTCAGAGGATTTTCCGAGAAAAGGCCTTTTGTTTCTGTTTCTGTTTCACTTCTCGAGTTATATTTCAGTTGTCGTAAGGGCTGCAAAATATGAGGAAAAAAGGGGATTCACGATAATGTTTAAAATCTGTAACTAATTAATTAAATATATTTGATTAGCGACGATTATTCTTGAAATATATAATGTGTTGCAGTTCTGCCTTTTTGCAGCTTGTTGCTAAAATACAACAAATTGAATAAATCTAAATAAATTGTATTTACAATTGAAGTTATACTCAACACAAAATACATTACCAATGTTATTGTTAGAGGCTTTTATCCCAAGCAATTTGGGGTGGAGTGTCTGCCGCAGGGACAACAACGAGACATTGCTGA